TGTCCGTGTGTGTGTGTGTGGGGGGGGGGGTGGCTAGACCTAACATCATTAATCTGAGGATGGGGCATCAGGTTAAGAGGGCAGGCCAGTTGAGAAGGATCAGATGCTCAAGCAATTGTCCTGTAAGTAAGGATGCACCCTGATGGTGTGGTTTGCTCTTTTGCTATTCAGTTTGATCAGCAAACTGCATTTTCCTAATAACCAGTGTCTAATTTTGGATTTTCTCTCTGGGTGTAGCCTTCCCAGAGAGCCTTATGGCTAATGGAGTCGGTTAGAAATTTTCATCATCTTCATCTTAGCCTGTCTTTTTTAAATGGACGTTTGCAGTGCTGCTCTTTTGTGTATAGTTGCTCAGCTTTAACCTAATAAAGCTTTTCAGTTGGAAAGCCTTTGTTCTGGTCTGCTTGGAAGCAGGGGGAGAAGAATGGCCAGGAGTACAGGATTGGTAAAGCTGCAAGTTGTGTATAGGGTGCATATTCAGCAGGATTTAGTAGTAAACTTGGGCTTGCTGGTCCAGGTTCAGTGCCATACCGGCCCATTTTGGCTAGTTGCCCACATGCCATGTGGATCCAGTCATTCAGTGGGTTCACACATGGCAAGCCATGGTGCGTAACCAGCCACAGTGGACTGGCATGTCATCCAGATACAGCCCCCATCTTGAAAGCTTATTGTTGCTCGAAATAGTTGGGGGTCACCATGTTTCAAAGCTTGCAACATTCCATATGAGTTTACTCAAAAGAAACCCTCCCTTCTGCTCCCTTACCCCCTGCCACTGGTTGGTTGGGTTAAAGAAAAGGGTCTTTTTCACTGGGGTGCACTAATTACGACCTCTGGAGAGGTTTAGATGTGCCCAGCCCTGCTGCACTCATATAGAAAACTGTGCTTTTTTGTGGTCGTATCTCAGTTAATTGCTTTCTGTGGGTTTTTTTTAATCACACTTTTCTCTGTGCTTTTTTATTGTTGTTTTATTATTTTGTTATATACTATCAAGTTTGGTTATCTGTTTTTCTTTTATGATATTGTAAGCCACTATGAGTAGACCTTTTGCCTAGAAAGTAAATTGCCTATCAATTTATATTTTGATATATGTATAAACGTATTTACTTGGGGCCCAAAGTGTGTGTGTGTGTGTGTGTGTGAAGGGGAAGTATAAGGGAAACATGCCAAGCATCAGTGAACATCACTGTTGTACTTCAAAGAATAAATTAACAACCACAAAAATCTTGTCATGCAGAAAAATATGTATTAGAAAAGCCTTGTGATTCTTAGTCGCTATAATATATATTTTACACCTGAGAGGTTTTAGGCAATGATTTATTATTACACAGTGGTGATCTTGTATAATATCAGGGCTCTGCAAGAACCAGCCTGGTGCCTCACAAGTGGTTAAGCACGCAGCAAATGTGCAAGAAGATGATGAAGAGGGACAGGTCACCCATCTTAGTTCCTGGCTGCTGACCAAACAGATGGCAGCCGGTCCCAGGGCAGCCCTTGAGGCTCCTTTGGGTATTTCTACAGAGGCAGGTCTTCCTGGCCCAGCCTCAGTGGCCACCACGGGGAGGCAACAGCAGCTGCTGCCATGGGCCCACAGGCTCAGAGTGCCTATCTGTCTGTTGCAATGGCCACCATCCTCTTCCTCCTTGTCTTCAGCCATCCCAGCTGGGATCACCACTAGAGACCTTGGAGACCCCATAGCACCATGTTTTCAGAGGTGAAAAATTCCACTTGCCGTTTAAGTAGTGGCGATCTGAACCAACCCACACTTGCTTTGGGGTGTGGGGCAGGCATACAGGGAAATCCTCATGTGGCTCAGAGCTCTCATTGGCTGAGCCTGCCTCCCCCCCCCCACAGAAGCAGCATCTGATTGGTCAGGCCATTGCTGCTCAAAAGGTAAAATTTAAAACCCCAGCTTTTAAAATGTTGGGGTGGGCTCTTGGCACTCTGCTGGTCCAACCAGCTGGGCCTGGTGAGGGAGGGGAGGGCTAGCAGGCAGAGGGATTTGGCCAGTGAGGAAGATGAGGGTGTACCCCCAGTCCCAGAGTTTTTCTGCTGCTGTCATCACCCACTTCCTAGGCATCTGAACACTCCTGAGGCATTGCTTTTCCTTAATGACCTGGAAGTGGAACAAACATGGAGATTTTGCACAGAATGTCTCAGTGGTGGCCCCACATCTATGAAATAATCCATACTGTGGCCCAGCTGGCACCAAATCCATCATCTTTTGGGTGCCATGTTAAGATAGCCCCCTTCTCTAGAACCTTTAAAGACTTATCTGGTCCCAGGGGCTGGATGGGGATCACCAGGTGTCTCACAGAGCCATTCTTTTGCTATTTTAGCTTTTATCATCTTTTTTAGCTATGTAAAACCTTTTAATATTTTTCTTTTTTCTGATTTTATGCTATTTTATTGCATTTTTATCCACTTTTTTATGGACTGCCGTAAACCACCCAGAGAAGCTTTAGCCGTGAGTCATTATAAAAATAAACAACATGAACAACTTAATGTGACATGAAATTATTCAGCAGTGTCCTTTCTCATAGTCAAGCTCTTGCTATAATGATTGGAACATACTCCTTGTAGGTTCAGTCTCTATTTCGGGAGAAGAAAACTTTTAGGAAATCGGAGGTCACTCTGGATCTTCCCATGTGGCTACAGCACCGCCCACACGTCACACCTGCATTTCAAATACTTGAGGGAAGATACTGAACCCTGAAGGCTGACAGTAGCTGCGCCAACATTTTTCGGAAGATTTTTTCCCCCAAAAGTCTTAAGAAGTTTCATTTCTTACCCGCTAGCATACAGTGCCACTTTTCTCCACCATTATATTTTGTGGAGGCTTCATCCCCACCCACCTGCCAATCCCCAGGAATGATGCCAGGCGTGGGATATTATGAAGGATTCAAAATGGGGGCCAGGTATCACATGCAGTGGCTCTGAAAAAAGAAGTGTTAAGGAAGGGAAACATAGAAACAAGTCAGAAGGGGCCTCCTGGGCCATGGTGAATGCAGCCTGTGAGGAATTATTGGCTAATTTCTTTTCCTGGAGAAATTTGGTGAGATTGTCCTGATTTCACTGCCCACAAATAGGATGGAGAATTTTGAGAGGGCCACTGCGCACATTTCTTATTCCTGCTTTGCTTGGAATCCAGTTACTGAGCTGGTGTGATGGTGCCATTAGCGGAGTATAAGATACTGACTGGCTTGTGTGAATGGAAACAGAGGCACAGAGGTGGCCACCTTAATGAGGGAGTAGAACCGTGTTGCTGTATTTGATTCTAGTTTTAGAATAGCAGGATGCAAAACCCATGGAGGGAAGGTTATCAATTTGCCAGACTTCTTTGAGGTTATAAAAGATTTCACATTTCACTCCCTTGAACTGAATTTGAATGGAAATGAAGCCTTTTCTTCCCATGAAATTGGCAGATGTCTTGATCTTCACAAAATGGCTTGGGATGCATCTTCTGGTCCATTCACCAGCCAAGACCAACTGCTTGAGATTCTCTTCCCATCCCTCTCTTTTGAAACTTCACTTTAATTTTGCTGCTGCTTCTCATTTCTTTCAGGATGCTGACTCCACTCAAATAAAATATACTTTTAATTTTTAAATGTTAAAAAAATAACAATATGTCATCTTTTTGCAGCTTTCCTGTCTGTTTCTATCCCTCTGACAAGCTCTTGCACATGTGGTGCTCCGTAGATCAAAATGGAGGCAAAAGTGCAATTCAGCAGAAATGACATATTCCACAAAGCGCTTATTACATATCGGAACCTAAATGTGTTCACATAAATTAACCACACAGAGCAACAGGGACTAATCAATATATGTTCTTGCTGTAAAGAGAAGCATCCACTATTCAGCACAGCATTTAATCAACTCCGTTACGGTGGTTTGCTGCCGCCTCTGACTTGCTTCCCTTGTGCGCTGCAACTTTTCCAGTGGCCTTAGTATTTTCTTTAGGGCAATAAACCTTCAGCCTTCTCAGACCTAGGATCCATTAACTTCCACATGTAACTTGGGATATACATTGTATTGTTTGGTCATATAACCTTTTTTTCCATCCTCTCTTTCTCTACATGTAACCATCTTGGTTTAATAGTAGTTCCTTCTCTTAAGGAAACCCTGGGGACTGAGGTTATTAGGGGGCAGACAAGGACTATGGAAACTATGTTCAGAGATTGACTGTGACGTAGGCGTCTGTGCATGTATAGATATTATGCCTGCAGGGTGATTTTCAACACGCTGTCCCTGTGGGGGACCGGCAGAAGTAGAGCTGGCATGTCTGGGAACTGTGGGGTAGGCGCACCTTGTACCCCCACGGCCCAGATCAACCCAAAGATAAGCAAACCAATGCATAGATGCATGGGCACCACCAAAAGTTGCAGCTCCTCATCTCCTCTTCCTCACCATAGTGACACCCAGTCCTAGCAAATATGCTGAAAGATTTCCCACAGCTGAAAGCAGCAGCTGATAGGGCACAGCAGGATGGGGGATGTATGGGTTCAGTGATGGTGTCTCACACATTTTGTGTTACTAGATACTATACAGAGAGAGGAAGACAAGAAGGTGGGGTTATTTTTGCTTGCAGCCCCACATCTTCTGTAATGGCTTAACTCCTGTGCTTAGTGGCTATTCGAAAGAACGCCAGTGGGGTGGCCCCTTGAGAAACTTTCCTTTGGGCTATTTACAGTTGCCTAGATGATCATTTAAAGATTTATAAGGAAATGATTTTATTTCGAAATAACCAGCAGGCATACTGTGTAATGTAATTTAAAATTGATTTCATTTTTCAGCCTAACTGAAAAGTATTAAGGGTGTCAGATTGATGCATGGCATCTAATCAAAGGGAGAGTATCCTATTGCAGATTGGTATCATTAACATTTGAATGTTTTCATATGACAATAAATCCTCAGTGCTTGTGAAATTCTTTGATATTCCAATGGTAGCAATAATAATCTAGCAGGCTTCATTGTGATCGTTTTAATGTGTTTTCCTTTTCCAGGCTTGTTTGAAAAGCAAATGACCGCCATTATGAACATTGCCAGCTTAAAGGGAAAAAAGTTTTAAAGACATTCCTCTATGTGGGTATTTATAAATTACTCAATGTATAAGAGATTAATCTAAAAGAGGGGATTTGTTTAGTGGGATAACTTTTAGGTCACTTACATGATGACATATTTTTTGTTTATTTGGTATAAGTTAACTCTTCTGAGACAGAAGAATTGCCTTGGAAAACATGATAAGGGATTTTCCTTATGATACTTTAAACCTACCACTTTCCTGAGGCTTCTTCCAGATTTGATGTGGGACATGTTTTTGACCCAAAGGACAGTCTTATTTGCCTTTCTGAATGTTCCACAATACAACCGCTAGGTGGCATTGTGCTGCAGCCAAGTTCTGCAAATAGACCAGTGTTTCATGCCTCCCATTCAAGAAAATACCGTTTTCCTCATTGGAAAAAACAAAAATGTCCACAAAGCATGGAAGGACTCCTGGGGGACAATGAGAGTGTAAAGCACCTGCAAACTATTGTGAGTGAAGAATGTTTGGTATAGAAAAGCTCTTAGGTACAATATTACATACTATGCCATGTTTACATAGGAACTTAAAGGCATCAGGATGCTTCTGATACATTATATCTGTAAAACTTTAGAAGACTTAAGGTATGTCAGTAGTATTAACCCCTTATTGTGAAGGGGTCAGTGGAAATTCAGTGGTAGTCATTAGGTAAGGTCACCTGCTTTATATAATGGGACAAGCAAGAGTCAAACAGAGTTACTGAGTCGCAGCTGAGTCTCAATCCATGTGAGATGGTCACTCCTTTTAAAAACGCTGTGCAGAAGGTATAATACAGGTCTGACTGCTGACCAAGGCCTTCAAGTTCAAGAATTCATCACTACTGTTGGCATGACCAGGCCAGGAAATGAGCCCCTTTAGCTGAGCAGTCAACACTTTTCTCTGTGGGCAAGTCCCTTCTTACAGCAGTGCAAGCCTTTGCCAGCCTACTTAGCCATAAGGCCCACTGGGCGCATCTTGGTGAACCATAACTAGCTTCCTCAGTCTGAAAACCATGCTCTTATTTGAGAATATTGTAGTTCTGTGATCATCTGTCTACTAATTGCTATCCTGTCCTTTCTTTCAGTATAACATGCATCATCACATGGCCACCCCAAAACATGTTGCTTCCTACAGTGACAGGGCAGAAGCAAACTGGATGAGTTCTGACAGCTGAATGGACTACTTTGCCATTGCTGATGACAGCTTTTCTACAGCATTGCAGGCTGCCTTGGAGGCATCCGGGAGGCCATCTGGCATGCGTGTTCTCTCTTCCAACGCCTTGCCCACAGCTGCTCATCTGTGTGGCCACTGCCCATACTCCCCAGCATCTGTTGCCTGAGGTAGCCTTGGCTGCATGGTCCTCAAGCTTATTTGCATAATTATCTGGTGAATCAGGTTTGGTGCCGGATTGGTTACCTATGTGTCAAAGTCCCCATGTTTATAGGGATTTGAACCTGCGTGTTCCTAGTCTAAGCTTAACATGCTCCCATGTATTACATTAGCTGTATGAATATGTGGATTAAAACCTCTTCACAGAAAAATCTTTAAAGTCAAGTCTAAGTCTTATTTTGGAGGCAGCTTTGGAATAATTTATGCCCTTTGGAGTAAAACTTGAACCAGTTACATAATGATAACTAATGAGGTACTCGATCAAAATGTTAGTAATGGCTCCTCTGAGCTATCCCTTCTCTGTCTCTTAATTAAGGTTATTTAGAACTTTGAAACTGTGGATTAATTTTCAAAGGAGCTTGTCAAGGAATGTAATGAATGCATACATCTCGTTTGATCATGCAGTGAAATACATGCTCATGCTACAGAAATAGACCTATTGAAACATACAACTTGTGACAGATTTTTCCTTGTATTGGAATATTAGGATATAAAATTTTATCTTTAGTGGCCATGGGTCATCAGAGAATATATCTTATATCGTATTCCAGGTGCAAATTTGTAGAGATTTGTAGGCTTACAATATTTCTGGTATTGGTACACATTGTTGTTCCATATAAATGACTCTGAGAACAGGCATGGCTTTTTATCATTTACTTTAAAATCTTATACAGTGTTTACATGACATCATAAAAATGTTAAAGCATGGAAAACATAGTTATAAGCAAAACATACTGTTTAAGCCTTTAAAGATTTATTTAGGCACAGTGCCTTTTAAAAAATTGAAGAATTTCACTCAGTAGCATTTCTGAGCTGGAAGCAAAGAGGTGCAGAAATGTTCATGAGGACTGGTGCCTTTCCTCTCCTGAGGTCAGATGTAGCACTTGCTGAGCATCAGTGCTGAGTCCTGTGAGAATAGGTAGAATGTCCTCAAGTTCTTCCTGCATTTTTCTCTCATATTTAAATGATGTATTTTGAACTGCTGACATGTTTCCCTTCCACAGTAAAGAATTTCTTTCACTATTAATTAACATTTCCCCAAAGTTCTCAGATATGCTTCTGGGAAGTAATACATTTACTTCATTACTTGTCAGCTTTTCTGAGCCACATTTCCTTTCAAAAAAAGATAAGATCTCTTTCATAGGTCCTATTTACTTAAACAAAACCCCCAGTATTTTATATCATTAGCCTTATAAGCAGTGAACGTGGACAATGGTTCATCCAGCTTTCTTATCTAGAATTCCTTTGTTAGCATCAAACTGACTCTTGATGACCTTATAGACCCCTTCCATCTCTATTCTATGATTCAGCCTTCATATCATATTACATTTTAATACACCATTTGTTTCCCTATGAAAATTGCAGCAGCTGATTGTTATGAAAAACGTGGCAGACCAACATCTCAATTTTGGAGAAATATTTGCAAGGTATTATAAAAGTTGGTGCTGGAGCTTTGGCAGGTGCAGAGGCTTCTGGGGCAAAATTTGTCACAGCCTCTCCTTAGTCTTTTACATTTCGCACGTTTTTATTTGGAGACTCATCGGGTTTTGCTGAGGTCCTCTTTATGTAACAAATCCAAAACCAAACGTGAAGATTAATGGCGTCCACACAGTTGTCACGCCCTGTAAACTGGCCCTAAGTGGTATCCTTCACTGAATCGTAAGCACTGTAAGGGATCTCAGATATCATCTAATCCAGTCCCCTGTTCAATGCAGACTTGCACTGCAGGCTGTAGCTGCACCATCCCTATCAGATGAGTATCCAGCCTCTGCTTAAAACCTCAAAATAAACACCAAGCCTTTTAATGCATAACCTCCGAAACCATTACCATCTCTCATAATATTAGGAGCTGTGACATACTTACAGTGCAATCCTGCGCACTTGTACTTGGAAGGCAGCCCTAGGTATGTGCATGTGACTGCAGAGGTGGGCAACTTCCAGATGTTTTGGCCAAATCTCCCACCTTCCTGCACTCTTGGCTATGCAGTCTGTTGCTGTGTATGTAGCCGGAACTTCTTGGGGGCCACAAGTTGCCCACCCCTCGTGCACAGGGCTGGAAGCTAAGGGTTGCTATAGGGTAAGGAGACTCATGGGGGAGCGCTACCACTTTTACACTCCCAGTGTCTGTAGAGGGATTTCATGCCAGCAAGGGAATTCTTCCACTGTCAAGAAACTTACTAAATACCACTGCTGTGGATGGCTCAGTGTCCCAGACTAGCTGTCAATCTAAAAGAAGCCAGAGAAGCACAGGGGACATCCTGTACGCTTTTACATTAGCCTTACCGTATAGATTTGCATGGAGGCCGTGCATATTATGCTGATGTTAATACTAATCACAACCCTGTCTGCTTCCTTAGGAATGAAAATGGGCACATGGATACTGAAGACCTTAGGAAAGCACTGCCTAAAAACAGGTTATCTATTTTGGTGTTGTTAATGCAAATGTTTCTTTATTTCCCATAATGATTAAATGTATTACAGTTTTTATACAGTCTAAAATATCTATAACAACAAGGAACCTGCTTTTAAGCATACTGCATATTACTAAAAAACAAGAGAGAGAGAAACTAATCAACATTACCCCTAACAAAGAGTAAGGTTGTAAGTCATCTAAAACTTTATCAGCCTTAATATACATACTTGCCATTGTAATGCTCCATTGCTTTTTGCCTTATCCGAAACGGGCCTCACCATGAGATGGCAGTCCAGATCCACGATCATCAGTTGGGATTTTGGAAGGTGGTTTGCATGCCATTATCTATAAATATTTGTTGCATTCCAGGAAGCTGCTAGATCTCTAGCCTAGTGGTCAGCGGGGGTGTTGAATGTGGAAGCATGCTAATTGTTCAGCAAGCATTTCATTATGTGATGCTTTGGTGCTCCTTCAGAGCTTTTTCAGAAGAGGGTGGATGGCAATCTGTCATGGATGCCGTCGCAACAGATTTCCTGCTTTGGCAGGGAGTTGGATTCCATGTTCTTTGGGAACCCTTTCAGTGCTCTCATTCTGCCAACTGTCCTGTAATGTAGACTGGCCTCGTAGTTCAGAAATAAAACACGCATGTAAGGACTGCCTTGCTGGATCAGGCCAGGTGCATTTTGCCTAGCATTCTGTCCTGACAGGGTTTTTCCCTTTAATACGAATACAAAAGAAATAGACAGTTTATTAATTTGTTTACTATATTTCTGTCCAGCTCTCTTCTTTCCAAGGAACTCAAGGAGGCTCAAGGCATAATTCTCCTTTTTACCCTCACAAAACAGCCCTGTGAGGTAGGTTGGGCTGAGAGTCTGTGACTGGCCCAGAGTTACCCAGTGAGCTCCATGGGTGAGCAGGGACTAGAACTCAGATCGCCTGAGGCTCAGTCCTGCACTCTTAACCACCACACCGCACCGCACCGCACCACACCACACCACACCACACCAGCTCTGCCTGGGACTGGCAAGAACAGATTGCACTGTGGAGCAGGCCAGCCATACCTTCCTTCAGGATGACTGGCCCAGAATTACATGCCCCTCACATTCTTTCTGTGCTCTCATCCCAATATGCATTCTGTGGCCACTGAGTCAGCTTTCTCCTCACTGATTTGTTCTACGTCTGCAACTTTGCAGTTTCCCCAAAGCTGCCAATGCCCCCACGTGTATGTCGGTAGCCCCATTTTGGCCACACAGCCAGCACAGCTCAGCATCTGAGTGAGAAATCTTGTTTGTTTGTTTATTTATAGATTTTATATTTTGCCCTTCACTGTATCTTGGGGTGGTAATACAATAAAATACAATAAAGTACAGCATCAAAATGTACAGTAAATAAAACCCAATCTTAAAACCTCAGCTTAGGCCACGTCCAGTGTAAATTACATGACACTAGTGTAAGCATCCTCTTGCACAACACCAAAAGCATTTTTAGTGCAACAGGAGTTCTCAGACTTGCTCATTCCCAAAACAAACCCATTGAAATTAATGAGACTTAGGTCTGATTTCAGTCCATTCTCTTTCCTTCTGTTTTTCCCTCAGGCTGCAATGAGGGAAAATTATATCCTTCAATGAGATAAAACAGGACTAATTTTTAAAAAATGTCTATTTATTAATAAAATGCTATTCTTGGATATGGCCTGAAATCTAGTTTAGTCGATCTTATTTAATCTGATTTCTTAAAGTGTCAGCAAGCCATCACTGGTTTTAGGTTTTCAGAGTGTGCATTTAATTCTCTAAGACGAATGTGAGGCCTTGCTTTAATTAAATGCTGATCAATACTGCTAATTATCTCATGCACAGGTCTTGCCTTGCATTCAGTTGCATCCTGTCTTCAGAGATAATAGATGAGAATGGCTAAGTAGAGATCAAACTGACAGAAGGAAGCATCATTTGCAAGATGTACTGCATTTCTCTGATCTCTCTTCATCAAACACAAAGGAAGCACAAACACCACCGAGAGTTAAAAGTATGACAAAAACACAGGACTTCAAAATAATTGCTGTGTGACATGGGACCCATCTACAGTAACATTTTATATTGGCACTATCATATCTGGTGCACTCACACAGCAGACAGCTTAAGCACCAGGCCCTTGATACTGATACTGCTTTTGCTCTGTTCCCCTCAATGTTCTGTTTTCTCCTCACCCAGACCATAATATACTTGTCTAGTGACTGTAGTTTCTGTGCACTGCTGAGATACTACCCTGCAGACAGCCAGTGTGAAGCAGTGGTTGGAATACTGGAATGGGACTCAGAAGACTTAGGTTTGGCCCCTCACTTGGCTGTGAAGCTCACTGGGTAACTTTGGGCCAATTACCAACCCAGTTACTATGTAATGGCAAACCCTGAGTGAATCAACCCATGATTTGCTGGGAACAAGTGGGGATTAGTGTGCTGCCTCTGGCATGCTTCCCTTTCGTTTTACAACATATTATTTATTTATTTATTTATTTATTTTTCGATTTATATCCTGCCTTTTTCCTACAAAGGGCTCAGGGCAGCTTACATCATTCTCCTCCTCCATCTTATCCCCACAACAACAACCCTGTGAGGTAGGTTGGGCTGAGAATCTGACTGGCCCAAAGTCACCCAGTTGGCTCCATGGCTGAGCGGGGACTAGAACCCAGATCGTCTGAGTCCCAGTCCCAGGCTCTTAACCACTACACCGCACTGGCTCTCTTACAACATATGATCAGCCTGAATCTGTGTTGCTCTTGTGATAGCCAAATTCAAGCACTTGGGTTTGTGCAGGCGTTAAACAACCCAGAATCAACCAATGAACAGAAAATAAGAAAAGAAGTTTTTTATTTATTACATGAAAAAGGAAAGGATTTTTGAGCTAGAAATGTATAATTTGCCCCCATTTCCTCTTCTTCTGTGACTGGGATGGTTCGCTAGCCATTATACATTTCAGAAGTGGCTATTTTCAGTGCACACCTACACACCTGCACAACTATAAATAACCACACTCTCTTTATTTCAAAACCTGTTTTCCTGCACAGCTGTGCATGCATTTAGCAGGTTAAAAGAATAGAATAGCTTCAAACAACAGCACAACCTTTTGCCAGATTTGATATCTGCATGAAACTCGGAATGCCTGCCCCATTCCATTGCATTTAGTGATAGCTTGCAGATTTGGCTTAGAGAGGGAGAGACATCCTGATTACATATGATTTAGGACCTGGCTATCTGATGGAACATCCTTGGGCGAGGGTGAGGTATCTTTGATGTCAGTCTAAGCACATATGATTTAGGACCTGGATATCTGATGGAACATCTCCCATATACACCTGCCTAGACCCATTGTTGGAGGTCCTTCTCCAAGAACCCTCTCTTAAGTGGTAGAAGGTGGCTACTAAGAGAAGGGTCTTGTGGGCAGTGGCACCTCATTTATTGAACTAGTTCCCCAGAGAGGTGCACCCAGCACCAACCCTTCTTGTTTTTAGGCACCAGGCTAAGACCCTTTCTTCTACTATTTTAATTGTCCAATTTTATTATGATTTTATATTTTATGAAGGCACTGTGGATTATTTGGTTTTATTGACTATTGATATGTTCAATTTATTTGATTTGTTATTTAATTTACTTACTTAGTTTATCATTTTTCCTTATTGGCATTATGATTATTTTGGATTGTCATTATAATGTCTTATTTATTGTTATGTTTGCTACCACTTTTAAATTGTAGATCGTCCTAAGAGCCATTAGGTTAAATTGGTAGGTTCTAGAAATGTTTTAAATGGATACGTAAAATAAATACATATGGTTAGTATTGAAAGTGGGCCCCCTGGACAGTCATACCCCTTCCCCAAATCCCAGGCCCTTTTTGGCAACCATCAGTCATTGGTTCATTTCCCAGCTTACACACATATTTTCTGCCATGCTAAAAGCTGGCAATGCCCCTCCTAATGCTTAGCCATTGGCAGAGAGCACTTCAAGCTAAAACATGCTAATTTGATCCCACCTCCTTTGCCTTTGGCCCTGCCCTTCAACCCTTCAGCCCCACCCCCAGGAGCATAAGGCCTCCAAGAGGTTCTCTGCAGTAATCCATACCTTGCGGCTCCAAGGAAAGGGGTTCCAGGGCCGTCTTAACAGCATTATGGGCCCCGGGCAAAGCAGTGTACTTTGCCCCTACGACAACTACAACTACTGTTAATTTTGGAAATTTTCCAATTTTCCAAGGCTTAACATACACAGATTCGTATGGGGCCCACAGGCAAGTGCCCATCAGGCCCATGCATTAAGACGGCCCTGAGGGGTTCCCCATCCCTGCCACAGGACTACCAAGAATTCCTGGAATGGGACACCATCCCAGATATTACTCTAAATTCATCCATCCATCCATCCATCCATCCAGCTTACGTCCTGCTTTTTTCTTACCAACCTAGAGTGGCTTACATCATTCTCCTCCTTCAGTTTATCCCCACAACAACCACCCTGTCAAGTACTCATATCCAGCAGTTATATGTCCCCGACACCAGAGTTGATGCAAGATGCTTGATCCTGGCAAGACAAAATGAGCAAAAGCTTTGCCATAAAATGGTTGCTGAAAGCCCGACACTGTAAGAACAGCTTTTAGACTTAAGGTGGAGAGCTCAGGAATCCATAATGCAAGTCTTGCGCTGCACATGGACCTTAACAATGCTAAAAGCTTGCCTGTGCACTGGAGCTAATGGTTTACCTGCCTTGAAGGTCCTTCTTTTTGTGAAGTTCCTGATCTGATCAGGAATCCATGTTGCCAGTCTTGCTTCCCAGGTGCACCTTAGATATGCTAATATTTGCCTTTCCTGAAGGTTCTTCTCTTTTGTATAATGTCCATCCCCTATTGTTTCATTCTAATGTGCCTCTGTCATACTGTCAATTCCCCACTCCTCCAAACTGTTTCTATACCTAATTGGTTATATATACCAATTTATTGGTTATATAAAAGCTTCTTGTATACACACTCCATCTTGGTGCTCCCTTCAGGGGCTGTCTACATGCCACATGTTTTTCCTCCATGTCTGAATAAACTATACATGTTCTTTTGATAGAAACCCAGCAAACTCTCTTTGGGTGCTTTCTTTCACTCCTGACTATCCAGATTGGAATCTAGAATTGGGGGTTTTAGTGCTGTTAGGATCAGTAGAAGGCCTACTCTAGATACAGATTTCAAGACAAGTCTGTCTGGGGCCGAGGTTTATTCCAAGAGAACAAATTGTCCTCTCTGTGAGAACAAATCAGCAGCAATATGCATGGCAAATTCATAAAGAAAGATTCATACTTCATCTTGGTGGAGGGAAAGTGCTGAGATTTGATTAAGGTAAGTATTTGGCAAGATAAACTGAGTTTGGTATAAGGGATAAACAAGAGGAAAAGGATGTCATATATATGTTTAGACACAAAAAGGTCCTACAGCTCACAATATGTCCCAGCTAGCTATGCTGGCTAGAGGATGCTGAGATCGAGAGAACTCATTTCTGTCTGAACAGGTACAGGATTAGACCCCTCAGACAGACTTGCCTTAATGTGCATTGCAGAGCGCAAACTCAGTTCAATCTGGAAGATGTAACTTTGCCTTGGAATAGCCATGATTTGCCAAGATGGCTACTTTGCAGTCAAGGAGGCTCTTACGTTCATGTACAGTAGAAATGCATTACATCTTCATGCCATGGTGCTGTACGTGGCCTTTTAGCATTCTCATCTCAGGCTCCAGTGAATGCTAACTCAAGCAAGTGCTGTATTTTGAGGCCTACACAATTGTGTTGGTACATGTAACAATTTCTCTTACAGAGCCTTGCTTGCAAATGAATAAAAATGCACAGTCAGTTAGCATCAAGGGCAAGAGATGTTTCTGACAAAGTAACCTTGATTGCTACCAGAAGGTTTAAAAGCATGTCATAGGCCAGTTCTTTTCATAAAGAGAAAGAGAGAGAAAGTCACTTATTTAAATGGTTTAGGAATCTGACAAGCACAGGCTCTTGAGGAAGAAAAATCATTATCTGTCTCATCTGACAACTTTTCCTTGGGACAGCTTGCAAGGAGAGAGAGAGAGAGAGAGAGCGAGAGCGAGAGCGCGAACGCCACAGACTGCAATACACCAAGATTGCATTTTTCTCATTTGCAAACTGCTCCTTCATTAAAAGAGGTAACACTGTTTATTATGTGAGAATCCCGGCTGCTTTAGCTTAACCAAATAAAAGGTAGACACTATAATGATTCTTGGAAAAGTCATTCTGAAGAATTATTTTGGATTGAAGCAGATATTTGCCATCCTTGTGCCTGCTCTTACTCCAGGGCATTCAGGTTTATCTTTTCTTCATTATGTATGGCGGGCAGGGGAGTCTTTCTCACAGATGAGCTCCCTGGCCTGACTTGCTACTTTTGAGCAGTAAACATGAAAACTAGTAAACATGGAAATTTAGATATGTGAAAAGCTCTTATCTGAAATTCTTTTATGTTCTAATACAGATTATTTTGTTTACCTGTGAACCTGATTGAGGAGACAAAAGCATTTCATTTATTGGAGCACCATGCACTGTTGCACTGATAAATATTGAGGTGGGTCTCTTTTTGACAATCTCCCCCAACACATGCCCACACAGAGAGTCTGAAGGCTCATATCTATTCTAGAAGTTTTCTTTTACACCAGAAGCAGGTCCTTTGTAAAGCCAAGGGATCTTAATGGTCCATTCTAGGTGGAAACACCCCAAACACTTGGTTTTACAACGGGTGGTGGGGGGATATTGTTGCTGGGAAAATTCCTTCGCTTCTACCTACCGTGCGGATTACAGCTGGACCTTTTCGCAATCTGCTGCAAGTCTTTGCTAAAGGGAAAGGCCTAGTCACCAGCACGGACCATGCTATGCAGAGGGCCTGGTAGAAGGCATCTGTAGGCCAAGCATGGCTTCTTAGCAGCATGATTGATTTCCAGCTAGCTGGATGCCTGACAATAAGATTCTTCCGACATTCATCTCAGAGCTGGGGATGAGCCAATATTGGACAGCCAGGAGACACACAGCTGAGAGATTCCTCTGAAATCTCCATCTAGGTAAGGGGGAAGCAGCCAGGGGAGATCATACTTCACTGGGAAAGGAAGGTGATGGGGGTCTTTCTCTTGTACTGGTGGCAGAAGCAAGTCTCCCTGGAAGTAAGGGGGCTTGAGGCAGGTGGGAGGGACATATAGTGCAGGTGCCCGGAGTATCTTTTCCCCAGCCTAAGGAAAGAAGACATGATAATGACATCAAGAAATAGTGGTTATTCAAAGATTCAGGTAGACAGCTTGGCACATGCTGCCTTAGCTAGCTAGCAGTCCTCCATTTTGTTTATTCTTTGCCACTGAGTTACTGTGCAGTGAGTTACTGTGCAGTGAGTTACTGTGCAGTGTGATTGTTTTGCACACTGAAGCGGATTTGCCTCTCTTAACTCTGTGTGGGTGTGCACTCAGAATTTGACTGATCTTTTCCCCATTTTGTACTTTGCCCTGAGTCCTTAATAAATCTTTTACTCTGCTTTCAGTAAAACCCAGATTGTGTACTTTGGAGGTAGAAGAGGGGAGGCTCACGAGAAATGTACCACTCCACATATTACAGTTCTAGCCGGCCTTTTTTTCCTTTCAAGGTGACGTACATCATTCTCCTCCTCTCAATCTTACCCTCATAGCAACAACCCAGTGGAGTAGGTTGGGCTGAGACTGGCCCAAAATCACCCAGTGAGTTTCATGGCTGAGCAGGGACTAGAACCCAGTTTCCTGAGCCCCAGTCCTGCACTCTTAACCACTACACCACACTATTTTTTGTTTTTGTTTTAACTGGGTCATGCTATGCAGCTTGAACACCTGGGTTGCATGCAGTGTGTTGAATAGCCCCTGCATTCTAGCTAGGCTCCCCTAAGGACACAGATGGACTGCAAAGAAACCCAACAGGAAGGACTGCAATGGGATCTACAGCCAGATGTTCTCAAGGCAGTGGGAGTATTTGGGAAATGAGAGTAGATTTGTTTTACTCTTGGTGGTAACAGCCAGCACTAGTGCCTGTGGCACTAGGTTGCTACACCCCTAAACATGCCCAGGCACTTGGCTCAGGGCCTGTTTGGATTTCTCATTCTGATCTCAGTTCTTGCCCTGTATGGATGGCTGTTCAAGATGAACCCCAGACTTTCTAGGTGGATTTCCCAAGGCATGCAAGAGAGTGAGGCAAGGAGAGGGCCCAAAGCCTTCTTGCTCAGGGTCCCAGGTTGCAGTCCAGGCATTCCCTCTGTAACTATAAAATCGCTTCTGAACAGGGAAATGATGCAGGATGGCCACATACACATCACAAGAAAGGTGAAACTGGATGCTGACTTGCATAATATTTGCATATGTGAATTTCTATGAGTCTACACAAATTTGTAAATAATAACTGTTCTTCCAATAGGCATACAATGCATCTCACCATGGTGGAGATGACTGAGCAGGTCTGAGTTTATTGAATTGTTACTGTGTCTGTTCTATTCCAGTTTTTATCTTCTATGCCATCTTGGGAGGGTTGCTTCCTTTTAGGTGGCCTAAAGGGGGACTGCATGTTGGCTGCTTAGTTTGCTGCCCAGCTGTTAAGTGCTGATGCTCTCCTCATGGGTTTCTGACTTTACCTAAATTTGAACTGGGCACCTCTTTGGATGTAGGACACCTTCAAAGGGGCTACTATGCCCCACCATGTCTCCAAAATAGAGGCTGGGCCTCTGTAAGGTAGGTCACATGGCCATCCTATTTCTCCCGCTCAATTCCCAGCATGAAGCATTCTTGATCCTCTCTCTTGCTGTGTGTGACATACCTGGAGTCAAATGGGAGATGAAAACAAAGAGCAGGGCTGAAATGAGGTGTGGTTGCTTCACCTCTGGATTCTACACTGGGTTGATCTAGATTTGGAGGAAGGGGTGGTGATTTTCATGTACTCCTTTTTATTTTGCCGTCTCCTAAGCCCTGTAATAAAACTGTTCTGGATGGCTGGGAGACCCTCCATAATAGCCTCAGGTTGGTCCCAGGGCTGCAGGGAATGTGGGAACTGGCAGTAATCATTGCTCACCCACTTCTTCCAATGGGAAGATTCTGCTGGATCCCAGTTCCATGCATGAATGGAAGGAGACCTTCTAGTTGTAGAAGGACGAGTCTGGATCCACGTCACTGGATTTAATGTAATGGATGGAGTTGCTGGGTTGCAACCTGACAACTCGGACCGTGTGGGCACACATGCCTGCATGTGTGGGGAGCCTCTGACCATGGACCTGTGGCTCTAATGCATGGGTCCTCAAACGACAGCCCACGGGACGGATCTGGCCTGCCATGGCCGTCCATCCGGCCTGCACTGCTGTTCGCCGCCCGTGCGTGTGTTGGCTGCGTGGACGGGGAGGTGGTGGCTTGCTCGCTTGTAGATGGTTTTGGACTCGCTGGGAGATCTCTGAGTGAGCAAGCCACTGCCGTGTGTGCCCGATGCCACCTCATGCGCGCCTGATGGCACCTCACTGGCCCACGATGGTCACCGCAGCCTTTCAACTGGCTCCCTATTCAAAATGTTTGAGGACCCCTGCTCTAGCGTATATTTCCACCCTACAATCTCCTGCTGCCTAATTTGCAATAATGTCCTTTTATCTTCACAGACTTCCTGAAATCAGGGACATTGCTGCTAAGTTAAGAGCCTGTGTTGGGCACCAGGGGAGAAGTTAGACAGGCTTTAAAGCAGGTAGGAAAGCATTCTTGGTGCCATTTTGATGATATGCTTTAATGTTTCACTTTAGTTTATAAAATTAAACAGATGCAAAACAAATATACTATAAAATAATTACAAACATGTTCTAAGGATCAATTGAGCCCAATTTGTACAGAATCTAGTCAGGTTTCAAGATGCAAGCAAAGTCTGAGGTGTTGTCACTTCAAGAGATAGAATGGCAGGTTAAGGAACCATCCTGGGCAATCTTCATAGTACCTTTTCATTTTGTGGATTAATCCAGCACTGAAAGAGTTAAATGACACGACCAATGGAAGGTTAGTGGGCCTGCTTCAAACAATCGCAAGTGACAAATTATTGGTTTGGTCTTGAGGTGGTTCCATAGTCAGATTGATCACTATGGGGAATATGTGCACGAAGAGCCCTAAAAAGCTCCAGGCTATTTGAAAGGATTCCTGCTCCAGAAGGATTTCTCCTTGCCAGAAGACCCCAGCTTTGAAGAACCAGTGTTGACATTTCACTTGCTTAAATGAGAGCTGCAATCGTTAAGTAGGAGACCAAAATGGCTGTCTTCCAGGGTCACAAGGAGCTATGTCTAACTTGGGAGCTCTTGATAAGAGCAAAAGCTCAGAGCAAGAGACTGTGCTAAAGAGCTTTTATTCTATTACTGCTACAATCCAGGGTTCTCAGAGCATCCTTAATTGATACCAGTTGGTTCAGAAATGTAACAAGTATGTCGACAATGGCTGGAAAGGGTCATAAGTGGTGCAGATGACCAAAGATAGCCATCAATTCAAACAAGAAGTACTGGGAGGAACATGTCACACTAATACACACAGATGGGGGAATTTCAGAACATTTTCAGAAAAGGTAAAATTAATTTTTCAATTAATATGCTGGAATCAGATGGAGACAAAATGTGGGATCGGTGGGGGCTAAGTAGAATGGGTGTATGTGATGTGAGAGTGGCCATTCATTTCATTTTGACTGGAAGATGGTTATCTCACCACCCACCGAGCCCCCTGCCTACAACCAGAGCACAGGTACAAAGGCCCTGTAGCAATAACTTCACAGTCCTCCTTCTTCTGCCTGGCTTTATTTTACTTCACTTTGCTTTTTACCTCTAATCTTCACTGAATTCTGAACCAAGTAACTTAAGGCTCTCTTTGTTTTCTAGTATTAGAATAATTTCTAAAGAATTTCCAAATAATTAGAAGGGACGTGGAAGAAGGGACATGGAATTATTTCTAAATATGATTAACCCTTTCAACTTCAAATCTGGTTAACTCCTTCTGCTCCAAATTTAAATCAATCATATAGGTACCAATAACAACATAGATAACAAGTCTGATCCTTCTTATGCCCCAAATAACTTAGCAATGTTTTACTTCAGCCTTTTACATTCAAGTAGTGTGCAGGAGGAAGCCAAGGAGAGATAAGAACTTTTAACATGTCTTTTAAAACTAAGTGTTAACAAGTAGAATACAAGAGGGTGCTAAAGAATATATATATTAACCAAAAGAAGATAGGGGCTCAATTTACTATCTTCTTTGCTACATTTCTGGCCCAGGTTTGCAATTACTGTGCTCATGTAACCCCAGAGCTTATTTTCTGTAATTCTCTGAAATAAATCAGAGAACGCATTTCAGTTTACTCCTGAGTCTGTGATGATGATCGCCTGTTTGAACCTGACTTGATTATGCACCAGGATGTCTCCAACCCTTTTGGTAGAGGTCCTGAAACTAAACAGGATCAGATTAACACAGCAGGCCTTTGAGTGCCATTAGAGACAAAATATTGGCTTTCCTTTAGCAGTATGACAGTGAAGGAATATTGACAATGGAGAGCAGATGGGGTGACACGTACTTCTGTATTCCAAAGCAGGAAGCTGGGAAGGAAAGGGAGAAATTGTAGTGTGCTTCTCATTTCTCAAATTAAAGCTTTCAGCCTTTTTTCCTCCTCAGGTTCACAGAGTCACAGAATACTAAAGTTAGAAGGGCTAGTAAGGCCATCAGATCCAAAGCCCTGCTCAAGGCAGGACTCCAAGTGAAAGCATCAACATGTTTTTGAGAATGTTCTAAGACTGTAATGTGTTCAGGGTGAGTGTATCATCAGTGTACATGTGGAAGAGTGCTTCTTTTTTGCTGTAGCTTAAATAAATAAACGCCCAAATGGCAGCAGGGGTTATCTTCTGCCTGGCACTGTGGTTACCACAGAAATGAAGATTTGGAAATGATCCAAGGCTATTAGCCAGAATGCGAAGCTGAAGCACCCTGGCACTCTATTTTAGCCAACAACTTTGGAATTATACAATGAAAAAATCAGGAGCAATTACGGCTGACATGCATGTGAAAAATTGAAAATTCCAGCAGGTGTTGTTGCATCTGCCAAAACTCTTCTCTTTAGCAGCCTGAACTTTTAAACAAACAAATTAATACATTTTAGCCTCGCTGTAATAAACTTTCTCATTTGTTTCAGGTGGCAAATAAAATTATCAGAGACAAGACAGATGCACTCTTTCTTTCCTAGAATCTAAAATGTCCTCCAGAGTATTTTATTTTCCCTTAATTGTGGCATATTTCCAAGCAGGTTGCCAGGTAGCAAAATGGAGATTATTAATATCTTGTTCACATCCACAAAGAAGGAAGACCTCATCTTGTTTTGCAGCTGGTTCAAGGTTGGAGCATGGATCTCTGTAAAGGGAAGCTACCTCCCATTGTTTAAAAAGAAATGGTCAGTACAAGTCCAAAGCACAGTACACTGTACTGTAAAGTAAACCTTTTCAGCAAAGGTTCCTGGCCTTTGGGGACTGGCCGGCACATTTGGAATTTTGAGAAGGTTTTGTGGGTGCTCTCACTCTAGAAAGAAGCATTTTGATTTACAGCACACCAGCCACCCAGTTAAAAATAATTTCAAGATCTTCAATAATAAAATAAAAATGCCAAGGGTCAGGAAGCCTAGCAGGCATCAGAAGTGTTTACAAACACACTGGTGCCTATGGACCCCATGTTGGAGACCGCAGCATTAGATCTATTTCCAATTCCTTTTGCAATGACAGAGATATGTGTGTGCGCTGTGTGAAAAGGTAAGTAGCAATTTGGTTAGCTTTTAAAGTAGCTTGGATTTTTACACGGTTCAGCTTGCTAGAATGTCCTGCTGAAGCTCGGTCTAGCCAAGATGGAGGTAGTATTGATGGGCAGTTCAGTTGACTTAGCAAGTGGCTTTCAGCTTATTCTGCAGAGAGATAAACTCTCCCAAAGGACTTGATTTGCAGCATGGGGGGCTCTTAGATTCAGGCTTGTCTTTGGAGGTCCAAGTAGCTTCTGTGGCATGAAGGACATAACAGCAACTTAAGCTCTGTTCTAGTTTCAACCTGAGAAAACCTGGTTATTATGGTTATCCTAACTTTGGTAACATCCTGTCTGCATTACTGTAATGTCTTGTGCACAGTGAAGGCCATTTGGAAGCTCAGTTCAAAAAGCAGCAGCTGGTTTACTAATGGGGATCAGTCAGATAGAACATTTCTCACTAGTCCTGAAACACTACACTTGTTCATGCTTCATCCTTGGGCACAATTCAGGATGCTAACTCTTCTTTCTGAGTCCCCAAATGACCTTAGCATGTCCAAGAATATGGACATTCCTGGAGGCCTCTCTGAGGCCCCCATCCCTTCTGAAGCAAGGAAGCAGAACTCCCAGGAGACTCATCCGGCACCAATGTTGATGCCAAAACAACCTCAAAGGTGTCTGTTTGACTGGAAATTTAATGTACGTTTCTGTATCTGTTTTTAGGCTGGCGTTTTGCTGAGAATACCCTGATGCTGCAATTTGAAACTATTACATTTATGGAGGGTTTTGTATAATGCGTTTAAATTCTAAGCTTCTTTGAAGGTTTTAGTGTCAGAAAAGCAGGACATCAATATTGGTGATAAATATTTATGAGTGTAATTTTGGCAACTACATCATTCCCACCCTGACTCCAAATCTCAAAGATGGCAGCTTGGGCAAGAAGTACTTCTGGTCTTCCAAGATCTGCCTTCTTGCAGCCTCACTCTGTACCTCCTCCATTTCCCTTAGATCACATCATGTCTAGTGAGGGGTCTTAAGCATTTTCATCTTTATTGCCACGTTCCTCTCAGGACACAGAAATCTAGTCATGGTCTCATTGACTGCTTATGAAGGGGGAGTTACCTGGATACGGACTGGAGTGAGAACACTCATGCTTCAGCAGTGTTCATTTTGATCTGGCTGCTGTAATGAAGGCAGGTGAGGATGGAGGGGGAAGGCATTTCTTAAAACTTCATTCCCCTTAATGATTCCCTTCTCCAAATAGGAAAACTTTCATTAGAAAGGTTGCACACAGAAGTGTTTGCATAGATATGTTTATTAGCATGGTGCCTCATCTTGGCTCTCCTTTATGGGCTGTGCTAAGTAAAGTACTGTATTTGGGATTTTGTGTCCTATCCTCAAGCCCACCAATGTTCGCCATGCAAGACTGTGCAGATTCCCACCGACATTATTGGCTCTTTTTTATTAGATGTTCTATCTTTCCTCCAAGGAACTCAGCATTCTACCTTGTCCCTCCGTGTTTTTCTCAAAATAACCGGTGTGGTAGGCTAGCCTAAATTTACCCTGTCAACTAAGTGAGGATTTGAAGTTGAGTCTTTCAAGTCCTACTCCAACAATTTGAGCCAGGATGAGGAACAGGCGGCCCTCTAATTGTTGGACCATGGTCCCCAGCATCCTTCATCATTGACTATGCTGGCTAGGCTGATGGGAGTTGCTGTTAACCATAATGTAAGCATTATGCTAGCCTGGAGTTTACAAAATAACATTCTCTTATTTTTAAACCTCATTTTATCTAGGTTTGTTCTCTCTGTCCAGAGCGCTTTGGCTACAGGTGATATAGAAATGAAATAAATAATATTTTATTATTATAATATAATATATTTGTTATATTCAAGAGTTTATTTTTCCTTCTGGGGTTGGTTGGTAGTTGTTGGGAAGGCTAGTAACAAGAAAAAAAAGAGGGACAATTTATTAACTTGATCTTTCTAGTCTATTATTTTGCTGTCAACATTCTAAAAGTCAGATCTTTTCATTGAATAGGGAGAAATGGAAGAAGTCCTCCATTTTTCATGCTTGTGTAAGAAGCAGAAATAGTATACAGCTCTGACATTATTGCAACCCTATGCTGGGAAAAGCTTCATCTGTTGCTATTCTTATTTGAATTTAAAATTAATTTTATATATTTATACCTTGCCTTTCAGGATAAATCTTCACAAGGCAGCTCTCAAAGGACTGAGAAAGTGATACTAAACAGCACAACACCACAATATGAAAAAAGGACAGAGCAGAACAGCCAAACAATCTTCTTTAGAATCCTGGCAGTGCATCCAGATTAAAACTGATCAGAAATGGCCCTTTTATCCTTCCTGTCCCACATCTGATAAAGGCACATGACCTTCCATCTTTTATAAAAGGTGGCATTCCTATCGGTTAATGCAACTGGAAGTTTTCATTGTCAGGTGGCTTAACTGAATCTAGTGATGTACCACTTTGCAAAAAGCAAGAACTCTAGAGTCAGACATCCATAACCTGGCAATGTAAAGGGAGAGGCTTTAACAGCACAATCCTCTGAACGTACTTGAAAGTTTCCCCATTAAGTCCAATGGGTAGGTATGCGATTGCGTTTTAATGACTCAATCTTCTGAGAGGAGAAGCAAAACTACACTTAGCAAAGGCATGCTTTTTCCTTCTGTTTATGCTCTATCCATGACTGATAGATCGGCTCAACAGACATTTTGAGCAGGAAGATGCAATATCTGATTTTTTCATGAAACTAGCTGGATATTATAGTGACCTACTCTGCCTATAACAGTCCTCTCTGAAGAATTGTCCAACTCAAGTCCAGTTTAAAGGTAAAGAACCATAATATAGGAATGGCCTTGAAATTCCCACTGATGGGGAGCAACTGAGCCACTATCTTGAGGTACCCAGTACTTCTAATTCCAGTAATGTTTTCTAGATTTACATCTGCATATAAATTAGCATGTACACACTTTATTTAAAAAGTGCACTGCTTTACATAATGTATAAATGGTCACTGTATTGAACACTAGATTTAATCTTTTTAATCATGTGTATGCATAGTGAACTCCTTATCTAAGTGTGTATCTTTATATAGTGCACAGGAGGGAGGCAGACACAGGTTTGGGAAACCTCAGTGTTTGCATAAGTGTATATCTACCTACCTACCTACCTACCTACCTATACCTAAAATCCTAAGCAGGCCTTGGGGGAATCCAAACCAATTCAGTGATTGCTGAGCTTGCCCAATGGGTACAGGATGCTACTGTTAGGGTGGGGGAAGGAAGCTTGGGGGAGGGGAGAAGTACACTGAGAAATTGCTTGGCAGACTGGCTTGATCCCTGGACAAGGATCTAAATCTAAATAGGATCTAGAAAGGATTGTTCTAGGTCCCACTTAGATTCATAAGATAGGAGGGTCGGAAGGAGCCAAGGAGGTCATCAGTCCAACCCCCTGTTGGGTGCAGCATACCGAGTCACACCATCCTACTCAGATGATGGTCCAGTTTTGCCATGAATGTCTCCAGTGTGGGACAGCCCACCACCTCTCTAGGCAGCTGGTTCCACTGTCATACTGCTCTGACAGTGAGGAAGCTTTTCCTGATATCTAGCCTGAACCTGGTTTGTCACAGCTTGACTTGATTATTCTGTGTCCTACACTCTGTATCAGCGAGGAGAGATCTTAACCTTCCTCTTTGTGACAACCTTTCAGGTACTTATAGAGGGATATCATGTCCCCCCTCAGTCTTCTCTTCTCAAAGCTAAACATGCCCAGTTCTCTCAGCTTCCCATCATAGGGCTTAGTTTCCAGACCTTGGATCATCTTTGTTTCCCTTTCCATTTCTGACTAGCGCACAGTAAAGGAGAACTAGTACCTCTCTTTTTTGGAAGTGATGCTTCTATTTATGCATCCCAGAATAGCGTTTGTCCTTTTTGTAGCTGCACTGCATTGCTGGCTCATATTTAGCTAGCTGTCTACAACAACTCCAAGGCCTTTTTTCTTTTGCTGAGCCAAGTATTTCCTATCCTGTATTGGTTTCTTTTTCCCTAGGTGGAGAACTTGGCATTTGTCCCTGTTGAATTTCATTCTGCTTGTTGGAATCAGGGCCTGAGTGACCCCACATGGGCCTGCAGAACCAGGAACACCTTTGCAGGTGCTTACAGGGAAGAGCTGAGCAGCAACTATGCAGTGCAGCTGAAGGCCCTGGAGATCAGCATAAAAGCACACACTGTTGTTTCCGCCCAGCATTATAGCTTGGCCTGGTCATCCTGGATCTTCAGTTTGTCTTCCAGGGTATTAGCTGTTCTGCCCAGTTTGGTGTTGTCTGAAATTTAGTTATTGTTCCCTTGACCTCCTCCTTTAGATCATTAATAAAGATGTTGAAGAACACTGGTCCCAGGACTGAGCCCTGTGGCACCCTGCTTGTTATCCTGGCTTTGTTTGAAAAGCATGGACCACTAACCTTAGGAACCTTTTTCTAAGGCTAATAATGGAGCATAGGGCTGGGGACTGTGATTGGGGTCATGGTGGGGGAAGTAATGGGTTACACTTGTATAGTCTGCTCTTGCTGAAATCATCATCCCCCAGAATCAATCAATCAGCTCCTAAGAACACACCTAAGCCCAGTGCTTTGAGTGAGTCTAAGGCTGGTAGGGCTAGATTTGAAAGTTCTGTCACAAAAACTGCCATCTTTTTATGTACTGAACCTGATTTTAGAGTTCTGCTTGTAGTATAAGGTCTTCTGATTTAAATGCTACTCTCTACCTTTAAAGGGATTTTAGACAAATTGATTCTGGTTGGATTACATTAAGTTGCCTACTGGGAAATATACCAGAATGTTAAGGCTATTTATAGAAAGGCCACTCTCTCGTCCCCTCCTTGAGCTATTTCTCTGTGAAACAGTTTGATCATAAGTAGAGTGGTGCTCTTGTTAAGGGTATGTTTGATTTTATACAGTATGTGACTTTTATAAAAATGTGTTTACAGAGCAATCTAGAAATCCCATTTTAATGGAAATACTAGAGAGCTTGAAGGGACAATGTCAAGATAAAAACTGAGTACTTGGCAGTAAAATTTCTCTGTCAACAAAATATCAGATGATTAAACTTGCAAGGATCCAGAAAGATCAGATGATTAAACTTGCAAGTTTTCAGAAAGGTAACTTTTGAGACAAGGGTAACTTTTGCTCCTCAACTTTCAGTTCATTTATTAATGGTGCAGTCTTCTGCCTGCAATCCTTTACAATGGTGGCACACAACTTGCAGGCCACATGTAGCCTTTGCCTATTTCCAGGGCAGTCCACAGTCAGTGACATCCCACTGCATAGAAACCTAATCCATTCACCATCTTCTTCCCAAACCCCAGGCCTTCTTCCCGCAGAGCAATGTTCTTTTCTCTGATCAGCAGCTGATCAGAGAGAACTTTTCCCTGCCAGAGAGAAAAGTTGCCAAGTGATTTAGACCTCCTTGCTTTGGAGTAGACACACAGAAGCACACCGGGTGACTTTGGGCCAGTCACTGACTCTTAACCTAACCTACATCATAGGGTTGTTGTGAGGATAAAAGTGAAAAAGATGAGGGTCATACATGCTGCTTTCAGTTGCTCTGAGGAAAAAGGCAGGATATAAATATAGTAGGGTATAAAATAAATGAATAGGTAGGATCGCAGTTTAGGATTGCAGACACAGGGCTTGTGGCCCGTTTTCTCTCCAGCAGAGTAGGCTTTTGTCACATTTTCAGTAATAAGCCAGAAAATTCAGGCAATTTGGAATGCAGATTACGTATTTCGTTCTGTTGGTCTGTTTCAGTCCATTTCAGAGCAACGACTTTCACTCCAGGTAATATGGAAATTGGGTCGATTCAGTTCATGGTAGTTTTTAAGTAAGGGTGAAAAAGCTGCACTTTGAGGCCCCATCCCCATCATTAGGAATGAAAAACAAAGACTTTTCCACCCTCTTCACAGGTCTTAACCTGCACCGGAGTTCAGATCCCTGAGAACTTCTCCAGTGGAATTCAGCCCTTGCACTGAAAGAAGTTCAGTGCCTCTGATTTACAATACTGGCAACAGGATCCATGATGGTGAGATTTGCAAGATAAGAACATAGAGTTGCCCAGACCTTGAATTACAGTTCAAGAAGCTTGGCACTGAATGACCACTATGGAAAAGAGCTGTTCCCTTGAATACCAAGAGTGGTAATTCAGCCACACATTGGGGGATTTCACTGATTTGACCTACTTAATCTTTAGCTTGTAATTAATTGTCAAGGCTGTTGTCAGCTCTAGAAATCTATTCCTGCTTGCTGGTCCCAAAGAGCTGTGTTTGGTTTTCTTCAAAGTGTTTCCTTCAAAGTATGAAATCAATTGCTCCTGTAGCATGTTCTCTCTACAAGTAACAAAGTCAAGCCAGGTTCTGTAATGCCATCCAATTTGTTTAAAAATATTACTGCTTCTCAGCATTTTCCTGTGTGAGCCAGGAACAGATTTAGCTAAAGACACGAGGGGACTTGCATCTAGGTTAGATCCAAAGAACTGAACTGGAAGGATGATACTTTGGCCAACCTTCAGTGGAGGCTTTTGGGATGGGACAGGCAGGAGACAGAAAAGCCACTTGGTAGGAGAGAAACCTCATATGTGCTTCTCTGGATTCAAGCTGATACAGGTAATCATTATGCATTTAAAAACTCTTACAGATATTTCCTGCTTAGACTTCATTTTTCAAAGCTCAGCTAACCAAAAACTCTCATTGATTTAAATTACTAGATGTTGCATTAAGATAGGACCACCTTCTTCTAAATGGTATTTTCTAATTAAACTTATTTTTTTAATCAGTTTGGATGTCTTTATCCACTTTGAAGCTGTTTGATTAGGGCAGTCTAACAGGATGTCTCAAGTTCTAGTTCCAGAAATTCTTAATATATATGTGGGTATATATGATGGACTTAAGACTTTGCATATGATTTAAGTATTTGGGAGAAAAATGTCTATCCTGCAGTTTCTAGTTGAGAAGGGAACTCCGTTACAACTTCATTGCATTTTATTTATGTGCATGGAAATAGGATATCTGCATAAAATCAATCCCATGGAAATAGGATATCTACATAAAAAGCTTTTCCAAGATAGCACCCTCCAGATTTGCTGTACTACTGCTTCCATCATCCCCAACCTGCATGCTGCTTGGAGATCTTTAGGGCCTTGTTCTGAAATATCTGAAGAACATCAATTCCAGGGAGGCTGCATTATGCCAATGGTGACCTGGACAAAGTGCACAATCCCATGTATGCTTAGATAGAAATGAGGCCTGCACCTCCCAGCATTCATCCAAACAAGGGTTGGATTATACCCTAAGAGTCCTACTTCAGAGTATAAGCAGCTGCCAGTCTCTGCTTGTGGATGCAAAGCCTGGCTGGAGCTCTAAAGGAAGCTGCCAGGTGTTTGTAGAGCTTTCTGCAACATTATGGGAAGTCTTTAGAGCAAATATGCTGAACCTGGTATCAAAGTTACGGCACTAATACATTCAAAATAAGCAGTGCTTCAGAGGAGGTGTTCACCGTTATAGAAAATGGGGTCCTAACAAAAGGGCAATTGAGCGGGATGTCTATTAGCTCTATTTCATGTTCAGGTTGGTGAAACAACAACAGTATCTGATGTAGCAAATTAAACTTGTAAGAGGACTGTTAATTATGCTTCCTTTTCAGCCCCTTGAATTGTTACGGGAGGCATTTCTTTGCATTACAATTTTCTTCTGACAACTCTTGCATTGTAATTGCAAGCTGTCATACCTGCCTTGGATAGGCTATTCAGGAGTATGTGCAGAGCTTATCTGTCTTTATCTCTTTGTCTAAGAAATATGAATGTTTTGTTGGCACAAGAGACAGAAGCCAGGTGGGGGTGTGGGGAGCCAACAACATGGGAGTTTTAACAGGTGCAATCCTAGCCTGCTGAAGACTTGCACGACTCCTAGCAGCTCATTCACACTTGCCATAATGAACCCATCAGGTGCTTGATGCATTGTGTAAATTGCCGTGGCTTAACCCTGAATGACAAGTACTGCAGCAGAAACATGATTACAGTGTCCTTATTGTGTCCACAGCACTTCCAATGTCAAGCACTTTACAATGTTTCATCGGCAAAGATAAGCGCAGGTGTCTGTCTTGAGTAGTTTACATTTTTGGTTATTCCTTGTTCTTGCCTGCTTTTATTACCTGTTTTTAGTTTTTTTTAACTTTTAAATATCTTTTCTGATATGATGATATTTGTATTGTACTTTTATCATCTGTTTTTGTGGACTGTTGTAAACAGAGAGGTTCAGCTGTGCAGCAGTATCGAAATGAAATACATACATATATTCTAAAAGACACAATGGGAGAAACAATGGAAAGGGGTGGGGGAGCAGCAAATTGACACACAGCTGCCCGTGGATGTAAAATCAGCAGAAAAACCTTTATAGTGAGTTGTTGCCTATGCAGGGGGTTAGGGACCACCCAGACCTTTTAGCAGCAGAAAATTCTGAGGTGGTGAAAATGCTCTGCTTCTTGCTTTTCTCCTCTCTCATGTCTTCCTAAGTGGTGACGTTAATCCATCCTAAGAGGAATATAAAAAGCCAGTGAGTTGACTTAAAAGCCACTGCCAATTAAAACAGTTGGAGGAATCTCTCTTGATGTTTTATTATAAGTGTTTGTCAGGAGTCAAGGTGCAAGCATCATTGTTGGAGGGGTCCAGTACAAACTGGTAACAAAACCCCTCCCAAACACAAGCATACAGTCTCATGTGTCATAAAAGTCTGTCTCTTTCTCTGTGTATAAGTCATCCTGTCCTTCCCAAGCAGCAAAACATCTTGACTAGCCCTAACATTCATCCTGGAAAAGAGCCCCATAAAGCTTGCTAACTATTTTGTAACTTTTTTATTGGTCCTTCTAAAAGTATTACTCTCTCAAGGTTCTGCCTAGCTGCAAACAGTTTATAAACAGACCAGTTTGCTTTACTTTATTTATTCTGCCCTTTCTCAGTGCAAAATATGAATGAACTTTCCAAAGGTAAGTTTCTTGCAAATTCACAGTCCCCAGACAAAATAGGTGGCTTAACTGTTCTCATATATGGCAGAATACTGTATAACCAGACATGGGATTTCTGTCTGTCTGTCTGTCTGGGCGGGAGGAGCACTATACAATTATTCACATAGATTCAGCCTTTAAATACTAGCAGTAGGACTAGCTTCCTTTGATTATTATGATGTTTGCACCATTCTACCTGTCTGGGTACAAACAACACTAGGATCAGCAGCTCTTGTCAAAGCATGTCATGTAGGGAAGTAGAAATCTAGGGAAGTAGAAATCTATTTGAGCCTCACAATGAGCTCTGGCCTTGCTGCACAGGAAGTCCCTGCATTCTTGAGAAGATCTCGGACCAACAGCTTACCACTCAGCATTGTTTGCTGTCCTTAACATGCTTTCCCTGATCAGTTCCAGCAAATCCCATCATGCACAGATTCAGGGAAATACATTTCCATAAATACCATGTTCTACATGTAGTCTCATTTTTTCCCTCATAGTAATGATATTATAGTCTGGGCTGCTCCATCTCTAGATTTCTGGGTTTCTTTCCAAAAGAAATAGAAAACAGACAGGTTTTGCAATTGGGGAAGGCCAGTGTGTCTTATTCCTTCACCTGCATATGCTGGTTGCATGCCAGCAAATTACCATAATGTCCCTTTTCTCACAACTGAACCCAAGAAGTGGTGGGGATGCCTTACAAACCCCCCAGAAGCCATGGCTTCTGGGATAGTTTGTAAACCCACCCACATCTCTGGCAAGTGAAAGTAGGGAAAAGCATGGCCTGAGAGTGCCACATATAAGAGAGTGAACTTGACACAGGAACACCATTTTTAATGGCATCACCATGCGATTCATAATGCAGAGTTCCACCCTAAAGTACTAGTTAGCATGGTAGATGCAGATTTTTTTTAAAATGAAAGCATCAGTAGTATTACTAACACTTCCATACTGCCCAATAACCAGAGTTCTCCAGATAGCTTGCCAAAGATGAAATTCTTAAAATACAATATAAACAAAACATGGAAAACACATTTACCAAAGTAAATGAAAACAATAGAAGTTCTGGGACCTGTAAAAACTTTATCATATGCTGTCAAATGCCCGAGAGTCTTAACCTGGCACCAAAAGGATGAAATTGTTTGTACCACGCAGGCTTCACTGTGAAGAATGTCCTTTATCTGGGAGGCAGGCCACCAGCTAAAAGGTCTTCCTTGGTGCCATCCCATGGAACAGGCACCGGGCGGAGGGCCTCAGGTGATGGCTGCCATAAGGAGACAAATATTTAACTTTATCATCCACTATTTCAAATTATTAGCACTTCTTTCTGAATGCAATTTGGTTTCCTTGTGCCGGCTTCGACAGGATTCTTTGGCTCTTTCAGTTTGTGATGGGGAGCATATTTATGGTTAAAAAACGGAAAAAAATGACACCTATGCTAAATTTTTTGACATGCAACAATTCATTAAATGGTATCTAATAGCATTGCCTATTTGACCAAAAGATCGAATAACTCATTTGCCCTTTTGACTCACTAGAGTTTTTTGTTTTCAAGAACTGTTTTTCATTAAACTTGCTAAAAGAATTGGAGCTTGAGAAAAGAAATTGCCCCATATACCTAACAATTGCTTTTATTCATGAAGGAAGAATTAGAGACAGGAGAAAATGTTTCAGCTCAAAGGAGCCTGCCTCTTACGGTGAGAAATGGCACCTTGAAATGAGGGAGAGTAGCTGACCTTTAAAGGGATCCTTAATTTCAATACCTCTGAACAACCTGATATGTTCGACAGCTGTTGCCTTTTTTTATGACATCTGTGTTTCTTAAAATATACATTGATCTTATTCACTGGATGCCACTACAGGGCTGGCAGCTATTTGCCTTACTGTGGAATGGAGCACCGTGGATGAAGGCAGAGAACTGTCGTGGATGAGGAATGTCAAGCCCGTCAGGCGAATAGAAGCCTGATGCCCACTCTGGCCCACTCCCAAGGCCTGTTGCACTGACAGAAGCACTCTCTGGTTGGTGTGGTTCCTGTGTAAATGAAACTGGCACTATTCAGTTATTGTCGCCCCACTGTGGCTCTTGAGGGGGGCAGAAATAAAGTGTCCTCTTATGTTTATACATCCCTGAAGGACATTGCTTTGCATATGCTAGCTTGAATGGATAGATGCAAATCTAGAAATTTAATTTAAATGGAAACTCAGCACTTCTCTCCAGAATATGGAAGACTGTGAGCAGGTGACCCATGCTCCTTTCAATAGAGGTGGACGGGTCCAGATGGGCGATGTCAAGCCTCTTCCTTCTTATGGCCTTTTATCTTTAGGATGTTGGCTAGACAATCTTTCAAACAGAGGATGCTTCTGTTTTTCAGCTTGAGGTCTGAACTGGTATTGGACAGGCAGGTCAGATGCCACGTACCTGCAGTGGGTGGGTCCCCATCCAAAAGTGGGGGGGAGCACCCCAGTGCTTGCACGTGGTGCCGTAACATGATGGCTCAGAGCCCGTTCACACAGCCATGCACACACTCCTTGCCAGTGCAATCAGCCTTTTAAATAGCCTCCACAGGCACCTCTAGAGATATTTTAAAAGCAGCATAGCTGGGGGAGTAGGAGCGCCGTTATCGCTGGTGCTGGAGGTAAGGCAGGCAAGCTGGCAGACCAGACAGGACGTCCCGTACACCATGTTAGGCCTGCAGGCCAGAGGTTCTCTATCTCTGCTCTACAGCAATGGGGGCTGAAGCTAAAACACAAGGGGCAGAGGACTGCAGCATTCAGCAAGCTCTGAAAGGAAGACTGAGGCACACAGACTTCTAGAGCACACCTGCAAAGCACAGGACGATAACCTCCTCTTCCTGTGCTTTGCAGGCATGATTCCCAGTTTCCCCCTTTTGATTTCCTGGATGCTGTGCTTTTGGCTCCTGCATTGCTCTGTGATCCTGTTTGTGCTCAGAGCAACAGAGAGGCCAGCAAGCTGCTGAAAGAAAGCAAAGGTACCTGAGCTTGTGGATCATGCTAGCAAAGCAAAGCAAAGAGGAAAAGTCTGTGTGTCAGGGAAATCTAAATAAAAATGGGGCCCAAACAACTAGAAACTAAAGCTTTCAAAAGGAAAATCATTGTCATCATCTACTGCCAGATGTGTTAAAAAATAAAAATTGCATTGCTCACCAAAACAACCACAGATTTTGAAAAAGAAAAGTCTTTGCCCAGCCAAAACAGAACAGATTTTTAAAATGGAGAAACAAAACAAAATGGAATGAAACAAAAACACTTGTAGCCAAAGCAAGCAAAAGCAGATTTTTAAAGGAAAAATGAATAAA